TCTGGTCCAACTCAGCAAGTCCCAATAGACACCATTCTTACATTTTTGGTGGGACTTGATGGAATTGGAGCATTCAACATCTGTTTGAACCCGACGAGGCTCATCCACACAAATGAAGAACATACCGGTGCAAGTGTGCAGCTTCCTCCAGGCTTGATCTGCAACACTTGGAACAATGCGTGGACATAGCCTTCGGGCGACAATATGTCCATGAACCTGCCGTCATAGTCCCGGTCGTACACAAGGCACCTGTGGTTGTTCTCCTGAAGAGTCACCGGCTTGTTTTTTGTTATTTAACCACATTGGGTCTACAGAAGTAACAGAAAACCCCAAGTGGCTACAGTAGATTTGGTCAGTTCGCTCTTTTTGGTTTGTTGTACAGGCACATCACAAGCACATCTCTTGAATATTCCATCCCCTCCTTCATGTCCTGCAGAGTGACCTGCATTTTGCCCGAAAAGAACTCAGCATGGTCCACCGTCTTCCACTGCAGTCCCGGCAGCGAGAAGACCAATCCCACCAGAACCGCCAACACCTCATGGGATCGTGGGGAAGCTGATCAAGGGTGGAGAGATACTGGAACCAAATAGCAGCACCCCAAACCCAAAACACATATATAATTTGTGCATATATGCTTGTTTGGTAGGTTCGTTTTGTGTAGACCTGAACTGCAAGTCATGGCACCTTCGGAGCTTTGAGTCGCAGCAACCCCTGCATGGTCCACCTCCTCTGCTTCGCAGCCGTAGTCATTGACCGGAACTTTGGATCCAATGCGGCCGGAGCTGAACTTTTCAGCTCTCGAACACACTTTTTGGGGTTCGGCTCGCAACGCTTTCCCATGACTTAGGACGGCTAGCGCTAGCGCAACCTCCAAGCACCAACAGCTAAAGGAACCCCTGAGCCTAGACAATGGTATGGGTCAAACTTCCCTCGCAACAAATGAGCTGTTGTAAAGGAATACTGTCATAGTGAAAAGACTTGAGATGTGCCTCCAATTGATGGATGAGCCCGCTGAGGCCATCATCGAATCGACACCTGAACACGATCGATTGCTGGAGGCAGAGGACTCCGGAAGGGAAACCGCATTCAAACCGCACCTCCATCCACGCACCCCCAGGACGAAGGAGATGACCAAAGTCAAACCCTAGCTTGTGACACCTATCTATATATATATATACTGTATAGGACTTTGACTTCTTTGCTAAGTAACATCTACAGTGGGCTTCGAGGCATTAGTTTACAGTAGTGTCGAGACTATAGGGCTTGGACTTGATCTCACCACCAGGACTTGTTCTTGCCGCTTGATTCCTGTCGTTGAACGGAGCACCAAGATCTCTCGATAGAAAGCTGGGTTTGGACCTGGCTCTCCAAAAAACAAAGAATGCACACAAGTCAAAGCCAGAGCGGCACAGTTGCAATGAAAGAACAACACACTTGGTGAAGAGTGAACACTCTTTCAAGGCAAACTTGGTGAAGAGTGTCAAGCTCTTTTTTGGAGCACAGAGCCTTCATCAAAAGCTCAATGAGAGCACCAATCCCCGCTTTGATTTTCCCATGACACAGCCAGTTTGGAAGTTTGGAAAAGCTGATGCGATTCAAGCACAGTGTATGCAAGATAAAATCTGCTCACGGGCACTGGCGATATAAGCATAGCTGAATGTCGGTAGCCTGGCGCCTACACCCTGCTGTCTATGACACTCAGCTGAACCCCCAGCTGTCATTGTTCAGTCAATGACTGCACCCTACCATACCCTACCACAACAGGGGTTCCTCAGAACAAACATGACTAAACAAACTGTGCCAAACGAGCTAGCCATGAAATTCACAAAGGAAACCTCAGCGCTAACTACCTAGCAAAACCAAATGCTGGAACACCCCTTTCTAGTCTGAGCGATCAAACCCCGCGCGCTCCTTAACGAGTTCCCAGGCCTCACGTGGGCCTCCGTGCTTGGACCAACTGATTTGGCCGTATGGTCCAGGGAAATCAGGTCGCATCTTCTTGATAAAATATGCTTCATGGCGAAGCAAAACTTCGACGCAGGCACCTCCACTATCCGCACTATCCTTCAAAGTGAAGGAATGCTGACCCTTGTTACCCTTGCTGAAATCAGGCCTCGCTTCCAACGGAAGTGGGGACAAATCGTACCCGCAAAACACATGCTCAGGCTGAGGCTCCACAGGAGCGCCTGTCGTTTTCTTAGCCTTCAATCCCTTCTGCTTGGCAGAATGATGAAAACTGGCCTTGGTTTTGGCCTTGGAAGTTTTCTTCTTGCCCTTCTCATTTCTTGACTTTCTGGCGGCGAGCAGGGGCCTGGGAGAATGGATCGAAAAAGAAAACCTGCAAAGGCGCAAATTCCAAGACACATGTTAGAGCAAAAAACAATTGGTCACCTGCGCAGACAGCCTAGCGGCTTCAGTTTTCTCAGGTGTGGGGACCAATGGAAACCCCCAGAAGTGAGGTCGCTCAACTTTGGGCGTCACCATGTTGACAGGCGCTGGAGCAGAATCCACCGCCTCGTGCACAACCAGCGATTGATGCTGTCTGACGACTTTTTCGATGAAGCAAACACTTCAACCAAACAACAGGAAACAACACTGTTTGATAGTTCGCCTTCTTGTGCATGACCTTGCTGCCTTCCATGATGGCCGATTCAAACTCCTCAGGCGCAGCGAGGTCAGGCACACTTGCATCAGAGCCAGAGTCAGGGTCCTCCTCAACCGGGCCATCGCGAGGGGAGTTCTCCGATCCGGAAGAAGAGCAACAACCTTCAAACTCCGTGGCCAGAGATCGGCGCAGACGAGGACGATCTTTGGAGCTGCCTGGCATATTTTCCTGTCCCAAAACCAAAGTGGCTTCAGAATCAGACCTGGCCGCAATGTCGCTCTCAACAACATCAGAGTCCTCGCCAGAAGGCTCCTCCAATCCTTCGTTTGGCAAAACAGGCTCAGGGCATGAGGGCTTTGAATCAGCCTGATCCAAGCTGCCCCCAAACTTGGGCACCACAACCCTCGACCAGTATTTCTTAAGTTTCTCCTGTTCCGTCAAAACAGGAACTGGCGGCGTCTCAGCTTCAGGAGGGCTAGGTGGGTCACTGGCAGTCTCATCCTCAGTGTCGGGCTCACTGTCGGGCATAGCAGCCTCATCCTGAGGCTCAAGATCAACGACCTCACCACCCTGAACAGGCTCCATCAAAGCATCATCAGCGCCCTCAGCAATGGGTTCAGGCGAAGGCACAAAATCCTCATAGTGGCCACCCTGCGCAGGACGCAGAATGAATCAACAAACACAAGCTCTCAGTGAACAGTTTTCTCAACTACACACACATCAAACTCCCACAGCCCAGCAGGCCCGACGATGTCGTGGGTCTGGAGACTTCCGCAATAAAGATTTCAGCTCAGCCACGCGGTCGTCGATGCTATCATTGGGGCCTGTGCGCCGAAGCAATGGATGTCCAACTATAACTGCCTAAACACAAATTGCATAACAGAATCGTTTCACAGTCACAGGCATCAAGGAAGGAAAAAACAAACCAATCAGCAAGGAACTGTTCCGAAACAAATGGCGAAGAGAGCCCATGCATCGCTTCAATCTCCGCCCCTCAACTCCGGCTGCGTCCGCTTTCGTCTGCTGCTCCAGAGGGACCAGCAGGCGGCTCTCAAACACCTTATCCAACATCAGAAATGCATCAGTAAGAAGGAATCCAGACGGCACCTCAAAAAAAAGAAATCACCCCATGTGTGATCCAAGAGGTTTGTTTCCACAACATGTCATTCCGTCAACGCTTTGAGCACCATACCCGAGTTGGAAACTCTTCACAGACCGGGCGAAGCCACACGAAGTTCGAGGAAAGCTCCTGCACAGTACGCTAATCATTGCTGAGAAGTTAGATAGACAACTCACCATAGGACATGTAACAGCAACGACCTTTGACATATCGCATAGCTCCAACAAAAAACTCCTCTACGCCAGGAGTTGTAAGCTCAGACGCCAAGTTTACCAGTTTCGTGCCGGCTGGGAGGCGATTGCCCAAGATCATAACAAGAGCTGATCGTGGCACAAGTTCGCGCCACTTGTTGGCCAATCTGACCTGAATGGCATCAAACTTTGATGCCTGAGAGAACAAAAACACAACTCACAGAAGTGCACCACATGTCTTCATTCCACTGCCCCAGAGACTTTTGCGCCAAGGTGCCACATCATCTTCACACCAAGAAATCTTTCCAGCTCCTCAAACAAAACACCAATAGGGAAAGAACCAAAACCCAACACAACAAACGCCCCCTTAACCCACTTGCAAGTTCAACGCAGCAGAGTTTCTAACTGATTTCCATGGTTTTGCTTCCGCGAGAACAAGGGCCATTGCTGCGCAGAAGCTTGCAAAGCAGACACGCGACGGTCCCGGTCAAAGTGCTGAGCCACCGAGCGCGCAACTCACTGGCCATATGCTTTTCAAATTTCCAAACTGGCTGTTCATGTCTTTTGGGTTCATGTTTTTTTGGTCAAAAGGAATGCAGGCCCTACTTCCAACGCTTTGACTTGTCTCTAAACAAATCGAAGTTGGCCAGCGGCCAGGACCAAAGCAAGCAACCTTGAGAGCTTGGAGCTGGGTCAGTGGAAGAGGTAGACCCAGCCGAAAGAAAAAAACACACACATTTGTTTAGGAGAACGCGCGTTCTACCTCTTTGCTTTTCACGAGCTGGAACCCCCATTCCGAAGTTTCACGCAGAGAGCTCTGCCCGCAAGGGTTGAAAACACATGTATGGCAGCGCTTTCAGGGCGCGAAACTTGAGACCAAACCAAGATCCTAGGACACGTGGAAAACACATTCTTTTGTAAGAACCAATCTGTCGACGTTTAGCTTGTGGTGGCTTGCAAGACGCTACGCTAAATGTGTATACGTTGTATAAAGGTGGAGTTTTATCTAAGTATATATAGAGTAAAGAGGCACATGCAATGTTTACATTTTTCATTGGGTACAAGCATGCACAATACCAGCAGCAAGAACCTCACTGCTCAAGAAACGTAACTATTGCGCCCCAATACCAGAAGTAAGCCTTGACCTATAGACCATTGTCTGTGCGCAAGCTGGGTAAGCAAGCGTGGGTGGGAGGGATGGGCGCCAAACAGGCCATGGCCACGCCATAGCGGAGCCAAGAGTTGCTGAAACATGTGGACGGGTAGGCTGATGTAAAAGCATCACTGGAACCAAGCCCTCAACGCAACTAACAACTAGAGCTCCCCTTTGTAGAGAAGCTGCGCCTTGGACAACTATGGCGCCTCACGGTACTGCCGGAGGGGTCGGGACAGCGCGCGGATATCCTCGCGCACTGCGGTGTGAACCGCGGCGCGTCCTCACTCGTCGCGGCTGGGCCGCGGACACTGCAAGCGGGTGACCACCTGCGCCTCGGCGACGCGGTATATCTGCTGGAGGGTTCTTGCCACGACTTCAACGCCGCCAAGATCTGGGCGGTTGCGGCGCACGCGCCGCGGGTTTCTGGACGCATTGCCGCTGCGGTCCGCCGGCGACCATGAGGAGATTGGAGCTGCGGCCGGGCCGCGTGCCTCCCGTGTGTTCGTGGTGGCGTCGCGATGGGGATCACAGTGCGGCGCTGCGGGGGTAACCGCAGCCGCCGCGGTATAGTGCGCGGCAGAGCACAGAGGCTGCGGCAGGTCACCGCACGACGGAGGAGCCCCGCGCGCGAAAAAACAGCCCGCGAGCGCGCGGTTATATATGTATATACCCTGGGCG